AATATAATAAAAAAAAATAAAAAAAAAAAAATTAAAAGTCAACGCCGGAGACCGGCGTTGACCGCCGGTCAACGCCGGAATCCGGCGGGAAAAAAAAGTTTTTGAAAAAAAAAAAATTTGTGAAAAAAAAAAAGTTTTGGGTCAAAATTGAATAATTTGTGAAAGTTGGGGTCAAATTGAAGTTAAAGTAAGTTAAGGATGAAATTGGAGCATATTAAAGTAAGAGGGGTTATTTTAGTCATTTACATAAATCTGGACCATGTGTGGACTTATTGGTAAAGGAGAATATTGTCTGGATCTCTTTATGAATAAGTTCCCACTGATGGGCTTATTTGTAATATGCCCATTTTTTTAAATGTGCTGGATTATATTTCAATGGTGCAAAATGATTTTTTTTTTTAAACAAGTACAAAATTAATTGGAAAATTCTAGCCTTTTCGGGAACTAATCTAAGTTGCTAAACTGAAAATTATAGCATTTTCCACTACTTGTACTTCCCCTTATAAACAACTTGAATTTAGTTAAAAGCCTCACAATGTCTTTCTTCGTCTCTTAAAATATATACATCTTTTTTTGACTCGGCAAGTACAGGAGGACTCGAACCCTAAACATTTATCCTATTGGCAAGGTTAGGTACTGACTCTCCTAGTGAGGGTTGGTTTTTTAAAATATATACATCGAATATTAATATCTTGATTCGATTTGTTTTATTCATTGATACTTGTTCGAACAATAACATCTTTCTAAATTATTGACAAATTTCGTCATAGTATCGTACATATAATGACTTAAATCAACGGCATGGTGTAATTTGCTATCATGTAGGAAAATGTGAGTAGATTACCTACAAGGAAAACTAAAAATAAACTAATTAGATCTTAAATGTTAATAAGAAAATAAGGGAAATAAGAAAAAAAGAGAGGTCTTATTCTTAAAAATATAATAAATAATGGAAACATTAATAAAGAATTTATGTAATAACATATGAAGGAGGTGAGTGTTTTGGAGCTTCACAACAACATGTGTGGTCTTCCTTACAACCACAGGTCACTTGATATCCGAAGAAATTACAAAATCTCGCACATTCATTCTGTCCGTGGCAGAACGTTATTGGTGCATTTGAATGTTTTCTACCCATCATCATATTATCACTTTCCACTCTGTTTTCTGCACACACCCAAAAACAAATAAACAATTAAAAAAAGAACTAATTATAATATTGATGATTAGAATTTAATTTATGTATATATATATATATATATATATATATATATATATATAGAGAGAGAGAGAGAGAGAGAGAGAGAGAGAGAGAGAGAGAGAGAGAGAGAGGTATAATATATATACCGTTGATGCCCAAAGCCAAAATCACGATGAATGTCACTACCAATGAAACTTTTCCCATGATTTTTGAAATTTTTGTTTTGATTTTAAATTCATGGTTTGATATTTATACAAGAAAACCCTCAAATGAAAGAGTGAATGAATTACGGTATGACAAAATAAGTAGTATACATTTTCTTATTTTTACTTCTATTCTAACATATTTACTTCCTAATATACATATACCTAAAATGTATACATACATATTTCTGTACAGTGTATTATTGATTTCATTTAATTGATTGCAATATTATAGGATATTTGTGAATAGCAATTTGAATTAGGGTAAATTCCACTTTACCCCCTTGTACTCTGCCCAAGAACCACTTTACCCTCTCGTACTCTTAATTTCGTTGATTTACCCCCTTGTACTTGTACAATTTCCCAATACAACCCTCTTCATCAACTTTTTTCGATTTTGACTCTGACGCCATTTGGTCAAGAGTCAAAATATTGACGTAAATATTGAATTTTTTCGATTTTGACTCTCGAGATTAGAAAAGAGAAAGTTTCACACATTCATATATTTTTTTCTTTGCACTGGGTGGAATCGATCAATTTTTTGGTCTTGATTTTTACTAAGTTAGGGGTTCAATTTGGGGATATCTTGGAAGGGGAACTGGTGGGAGAAGAAGAAATGACAATATTGACGGAAAGAAACGACGCGTTATAGGCAGTGGCAATTTTGTAATTTACAGAGTTGACCAAATGGCGTTAGAGTCAAAATTGACAAAAATTGAATAAAAGGGCTGCATTGGGAAATTGTACAAGTACAAGGGGGTAAATCGATAAAATTGAGAGTACGAGGGGGTAAAGTGACTCTCAGGCAGAGTACTAGGGGGTAAAGTGGAATTTACCCTTTGAATTAATTATATAATCGCAAATCACGTTAATTGAATGTTTGTTATATAGAACAAAGTACATTAAATAGTAATATCAATAATTCATCCACATTCTAAAAATACACATCATTGTATATACATGTATGTATGTATCTATGATTGGGTATATATACATGTATTATTTGTATTCGATGTACACTCACTCCATTAAATATAGAATATAGTTGATCTACTTTTAATCACATAATAAATACATAGTTGCTCTGCTATAATAGAGAAACTGTGAATCACAAAATTCATGAAAACATTTTAAATGATGTAATCCCGAAATAAAGTGAATAAATTATGAGGAAACTTATAAGCAATGTTTTGAAAACCGGACCGGACCGGCCGGTCCGACCGGTTCAACCGCGAACCGCTGCCATGTCCGGTCCGGTTAGTTGTGAAAACCCGAAAAGCCCAAAAACCCGGTTCAATTACCAAAATCCCGGTTCGACCGCTAAAAACCGGTTAACCCGGAACCCAGGTCGAAAACCGGTTTTCAGCTATAAAAAAAAATCATGGTCGGATCTTCGTCAATGGTAGTCGTTGGTCATCGAATCTTGTCGGAAAAGTTTGTTGGTGAACGGATCTGGGTAGTATGTTACCTAATCCAAGTGGTGGCCGCCATAGCTTTCCATTGAATAAACGAAAACGAAGAAGGTGAAACTGTGAAAGTGAAAATGATGAAAAAAATGAAAAAATAAATTGAGGAAATAGAGTATACGTCTGTGTGGAATCGTAGATAATTAAGAATAAACTATTTTTTTATAGTGAAGAAGAGAAGAAAAGAAGGAGAAAAGAAAAGAAGAAGGGGAAGGGGGATCTGTGAAGACGGGAGGAAGAAGAAAGGAGAGAGAGGGAGAGGAGAGAGAGAGGAGTGTGGAGAAATTAATGATTTTAAACTATTTTCTTATAAAAAAGGTGCCGTAAGTAAGATAATAAAGTGATAAAAGTGGGAAAGAAATATAAAAATATAAATATATTATATTTGAGGTATTAAATTAATAAAATAATTATATATATACAAAAAAATAAGAAACCCGGTTGGACCCCGGTTGAACCGGTCCAACCGCGACCCGGTAGCTTTGCCGGGTCGATGTCCGGTCCGGTTTTCAAAACATTGCTTATAAGGCCATCTGCAACTTAGTAAAACGAACATGCACTTGAAATTTATTGACGGAATGTCAAATGACTAAGTATCTAGATCAGCGCTTGCATTTATACTGAGCATATAGCATTTTATTCGAAAAAAAAAAAAAAAAAGACATACGGGTTTATTAGAATTGTGAGAGTGGTAGGCGGCCACAAAGCTCTGGGTTGCGTTCAAAAATAGCATTAACTGCTTCGTCTCTGGCAGCTTTGTTACCTTCATTGTTGTGACAATTGACGCAGTTGCAACTGTCGTTACAAAATGTACCGGATGCCAGACATTTACAATATCTGAGTGACCACATGAAATTATTGTTAGGAATCTTTACACAACCGTCATTCCACACACACACACACGACACAACAAAAAACCATGATTAAGTGGGTAGGAGGTGCTTACAGCTTCAAACAACGTGACTCTTTGCATTTACACTTCCTTGGCTTCTTTGGAATAGCATATTTTCCTTCATTCCTGAGAGTAACAATTGCATTTCAATAACCATACAACGAACGAATGTGTTGTCTCATGTACCAAAAACAAAACTATGATATTACAAAATGCATAAAATTTGAGAAACAGACCAATCATATACATATACATGAATGAATAAACATAAACATGGGAAATACATGTTTTGAGTTGGAGAAACAGACATAATATTCTATTTTATTTAATAGTTAATAGGATGATGCTCTAATAATGTCGAAAGGGACTCACACAACTGGCGGTGCAGCTGGCGGCAAAGGCTGTTCCACATTGGATATTAAATCCAGCTGCCTCACAAGGTTCCTCCCCAGTGAAGAAGCTTCCGATTCAGGCTGATTTTTTGGCGGGAAATCCTCTCTCTCTCTTTGCTCCATTAAGTAACAATTTCAAAATCCGGGAAGCAGTAGAGAACAATTAATTCACCAAACAAACCACCTGTCAAGTACAAATAATCAAATAAATAAATAAATAAAACGAGAATTCCAATGATTTTCCTCCCAAATATCCCTCCAGAATTAGAAATTCAAAACTCTGAATAATAAATATACTCACTCACAAGATTCAAAGAGTTGGCGGCGGCGGCTGCTGCTGCTGCTGCTCGTTCTCAAGCAAGAAGACAATCGATCCCGATAATTAGGGATGATATCGAATCTCATTCTAACGATATAGCGGAAACAAGAACAGGATAATTATGTGAATAGAGAAGATATCGGATTGGGAACTCATATTCTTGCCCAACAAGTTATTTATGGCCAAATCTCTTCTATTGTCCCTCCAGGGCGTTCTTGAGATTTTGGCCCCTTCTACAATATATAGTAAAATTTATATTTTTCTTAAAATATGGTAAATTCTATGTAAAATTGTTTTTTTAAGGAGTAAAAAGGTGGACGTGTACAAATTAAAATATCAAAGTTATTTGGAGTATATTGATATTATACATTAGTTAAACTTTGTCTAATATTATGGTATTGATGATGCTAATTACTTAGATCACCTGGGAGAGTAAAGCGGATCAGTAACTTGATAACTTGATGATCCTCGACCCTCAAGTCAGATGTACGATCTCTATTTATATGTCGTTGAATGGGTTGGGTGTACTTAATTGGGCCTAAGCTTGTTTTGAAGGTGACTGGGCTTTGTGTAGTGGGCCCAATTATTAGGCAAATTAGGGGGCCCATTGGGTTGGCCCAATTAGGTATATCATTAAGCCCCCAACTCTCGAGTCGAGATGGGAGACTTGTTGAGAGGGTTCCGGATCGTGTCGAGAGTTTAAAGTGATGTGATCTACCGGATCGTAATTGTAATTAATTGGCTTTTGAGCCTCGTCTTTTTTTTTTTATGTTTTGTATTTATTTGGCAACAATATATATATTTAAGTGTGTTAAATAATATACCATGGCCAAATAAACAGAATCCTTTTTGCGGTGAGGAGAATAAATTCCAATCCTTGTGAAGAATAAATATGGGTGAGTATCTGTAACTTTTTGATCTTCTTCTGTGCTCTTCTTGTTTTATTCTATTGCGGTAGAGTAGAAATTTTTTGTTTCTTGATTATTTCTTCGGGGAAAAATATTTATCATGTCGAACCCGGGTAAGTCGAAATCTTTGCGAATTAAACTTCGAGATCCGGTTGAGGGGGGCGAGAAAACTTTTGGTACGATGGGTATGGAACGCGAGAAGGTAGTAGTATCGGGTGCGGAAATCGGATCCTCGTCGGCGAGAGCACGGATCGAGATGGAAAGGGGGCTTGTTGGTAGGGTGGCTGCGGCCGTCGGCTTGAGCCGCGCCGCTAGCCATGAAAATTTGTGTGTTAGCACGCGCCCTGAGGGACGTCCTGAGCCGAGCCAAGCCATGGAGTCGGTGGCTTGCACGGTATCCGAGGTAAGGAGAGAGAAATGGAGAGAGGCCCCGTGTACAGTGCGCGTCGGGTGTGGTGCCACGCGCGCGCACACGGGGGGAGGTGGGGAGGGTAGCTGACGCGCGTGCGCTGCCCTATAAAGGCGCGCGTGCGCGCACTTCGCTGGGGGAGGTGGGATTGGGTGACGCGCGCGCGCTGCCCAATAAAGGCGCGCGTTGCATGGGGGAGAGGGTGCGCATGAACGCGCGTTCGACGGAGGGGGCTGCGCGCGTGGGAGGGCGT